ATTGTTTTCATAGTAAGTAAAATGAAAAAGTGAAATTGTCAAGGTGAGACGTGAGCTCGAAGCTTCTCTACGTTCCGAACGTCAACGATGTGCTCAACGTGAATCTGAATTGAATGAGCAGTGTATTATGGAACGACTAAAGTATTCTGAAGCAATGCAATCTATACAAGATCTCCGACAAATGATAACTCAGCTAGAGCTCAAGGTATTTTGATTTTTATGAGTTTTTGTTCGTGTACTTATAGGTTGTTTTCTTTTCTTCCACGTTTACTTAGACTGCGATAACTATGTTTTCATTTCTCTCATTTTATCTATCACGGGGTCAAAATACGAAATGGAGGATTTTTGTACAAGCATATTTTTTCAGAAGGCAGAAGGATGGACTCAGAATCAACTTAGAGGCACTTCTGTCTGCGAGGTTGACGATGATTCCGTGAGTTACAGCTTTTTATTTTTACGAATGACCATCAAAATGTCGAAGAAAATCGAACCACCTTAACTTCTGGAGCCGTAAGTAGTTATAGATGCCATTCATGACAATGGGAAACTTCACACTAGATAATATATGCTTTGACTCTATGCATTTTTTTTATCGTAAAAGATGAATTTTGTTTTGCTACGTGCTCGTATAGGCAAACTGATATTGCTAGCAACTGTTTCATTGCGATCCTTATGATTTTTGACGAGCGATGGGCTGTGCGTCATTCACAGATGGGATCCATATGACTCTCGGAAATCATAAATCTTTGTTCAAACTCATAGGCAATTTTCGATTTTTTGTGAGAAACATTCAGTTTCGTTCTTTATGCACCCCCACACCATGAATGACTCAGAAAGTGAATCTATGGATATTTTTCTTTTGTTTAGTTTACAAGTGAACGCTGATTGCCGAGAAATTCCTTAGCGTGCGTCATTCAAGTTAATATGAGTCAGTGTATATTTAGTTATGTAACTTCTGAGAAATCAGATGAATCAGTGGCTTATGTTGTGCTAAACTTATAAGAAAGAAATTATGGGCTAGACATTTTTTTCAGCGAGAAAAAAGGAAAAAGGGAAAAAATGATTAAGTCTGAGATGCTTTTTTTACAGACGTCGCATTTGTCGATTGGGTCAAACGGCGATGTATTCTCGCTAGGTTCAGAGGATATGAACGCCCTTGTAGCAGATATGACTGTCAAAGTACCGGTACTGGATGAGCTTTTAGAGGAAGGATCAAATACAGAGACCGAGGACCGTCGACCGAAAGTAGGCGGTCCTTCAACGGCCGTTTTCTATGATTTCCAAGAATTTTCTTTGCAGGAAACCTATGACGGAACGGATACTACAAGCTCGTGAAAGCAAATGCATTGGTGAATACATTCTGTGATAATTTACTAATTTTCTTTTCAATCAGTTGTTGTCCATATGTTTTGAGCATACTTTTTTGTTTCACGGTTTCTGCACACTTCTTTTTTTTATCTCTTGTACAGCAGTTTTTTACCCTTGTGACGCGGTACATCTCAATAATTCTTAATTTATTGTGATTCTTCCCCTGTTTACCCTACAAGTCCTGGAAAGTATTTCATCATACGCGAACTTATAAGGTGTAATTGTTGATCACAGTTCTAAACAAACCGATTCGCAATCCTGGGTTCAAATCGAGTTTTCTTTCTTTTATGCGTGGGATCGGCCCACGGATCGTGGTTCTCTCTAGCACAAACCTATGTTCAAGAGGCATTTGTTTCAAAATAATTGTGATATAGAAATCCCTTTCAATTCATCTCTAGCGGTATAATATTCCCATCATTGACAATTTTCTCGCTGTCATTCAACATCTCTCATTAGAGTATGTATCTATCAATTTCATAATTTCATGTCAAAGACTTGTGATCACATATTGTGGCCTTTTTCACGTTTCATAATGTGGTAATTTGTAATTGCTCATCGAGAGATTTGAGGAATAGTTATAAACTTTTATTCATTTGCCTTATAGCACATCTACAGATCAAAATTTTTATATATTAGTTCTGGCCTCTTAAAAGTGACGGCTATTTCCGGCTAGATCTTTTGATCTTGTGGTATCTTGAATACCTGGCGCTGCCAAAGGCGATTTGAAGGTAGCGTTCAGGCAAAGCAGTGCTGGGATTTTACAGTGTGTTTACAGTGTGCTATGGTAAACCCCCAACTAAAATATCAGTTAAGTATGGAAGTAAGGCGCGCCTAGAAAGCCTGAAACCCACTCCGGAAGTCTTCCGGACCCCACCCCTAGGTGCGGGCCCCGCCCACTTAC